CGGTGCGTGTCTCCTCCTGAAATGTCTAATCGCTCGTTTTTTTTTTCATAACGTTTTTGCGGTTGGCCGCACCAACCACTGAGATCTTGGTAATCTCTAGGTCCTAGGTTTCTGTCCTTTTGGGGATCCGGAGACCACAGTCCCCTTCTGCTGCTAGACAACTGAGTTCAACCATGCGGTCCGTCCCTTTTGGTGTGTCCGTAGCATAGTAGCGGCAATACAACTTCTTAACTGTTTTTAGCTTAGTCCTAAATCTCTTGTTTACTCAAAGTGCCCTCTCTCTTCCTCTTTCAGTTGACACATTGAGGGGGTAATACTCACGACAGATAACGCGCTAACTCTTTTGTGTCCTGATTTTTACGCACTCTCTCTCTCTCTGTGCGTAAATTACCAGTCTTTTCAAGCTGAACCCTCTAAAAGATCCGCTTTACTGCTCCTTTTAACTTGCGGCCGGTATCCCTTTAAACCACAGTGCTCCCGGTGCGTATCACTCACCCCACCCGGACAATAAAAGTACCGTAACTTGCCATTTTAAACGACTAACCTTCGCCGCGCAGCTGTCTGCTCAGCTGGTCCTTAATTCCTTCTGACAGTAACCTTTCCTCCTTCTTTGTAGGTCTCCTCACTGACTGCAATCCCCCTGATGGTGCTGCTGTTTGCCATAATGTTTGCAATTTTCTCAAAATTTGTGGGTTGAGGGAAAAGTGATCTGTGGGTTCGTGTCAACCCCTATTGTCAGTCTCACGCACACAGACGCGCAACCTCTCGCCTAAGCTAAAGCAGCCCCCTCAACGTGCGCTGTTACCGCTTTTGAACAGGCCGAGGGCGCGGAGGGAAGCCAACCCACCCCATCCTCCACTGCCCATATGCATTGGGCTTGTCTCCTTCCACTGATTGGATGCCCTCACCCTCACCCCCACACACAATCCACCTCATTCACCGGTCCCCCAAGCATCTTCCGTTCCACTGCCGTCCATCCACCTCCAATCCTCCCCCCCTTGGGAGGTGTGAGCAGCCTACCACGCGACTTCCGCCTTTCCTTCCCACGCCCACAACTACGGTTCATCATCTTCATTTGGAACGCCCGTTATACATCCACTTCTGTCGCGCTATACACATTGCTATTAATGCATACGCCGAATAATCTGGCTACCTAATTGCGGTGCCGTAGCGTGCAGCGGGACTTATTGCCTTTTAGTTTGCTCAAAGTTTTGTAAATAGTGTGAAGACTAACTGTACTTTCATTGTATCTAAGCCCCCTCCTCCCCCCTCTATGCCACTCATCTACCTACCTGCCCAGATGCTCTTGCGATAACAGAATGTGCCCCCCACCCCCCACACAGGCGTCATCGCCGCCGCATTTGGTTGCGGTGCCTTGTTGCGCTCTTTACGATAAACACAAGCTGTTCAGTTTCGATACGGTGTGTCCTGCCTGGTTTTCGATTTTCGCCTCCCTACCTGTGCCGCCCTTTCAGCCTCGGAGTTACTTGTTTAGTGGGGGTATGAAGGCTTGTTCTCCGCAACGACTTTCCCCACCTTTCCACCGCCGCAACCGGACAGTCGCAGTCAGGACGTACATGCAGACAAACAGTGCCGGAGGGTGCTGCCATGCTCCCGTAAAATCTTTTTTGCTCGGGTCGACCCACGTCCGACCCCCATGTGTTGGTTTTCGACCGAAATCTTGTGCATTATATATTTATATATATATTATACATATAAATGGACTTATTGACTTGAATGTGTACATCTTAACCCTTTGCCCGATGTCCCCGTCTCTTCCGCCTTGTGGCCTCCATTCTCCACGCGTGTTTTCTGCGTGTATGAAAGATACTCACTGTTGCGCCGCCTTTTCGAATCTTTTCTGGAATGTGACGCCTCAATATTAATCTTTGCCTCGTTGTAAGTAACATAAACAGTAAAGCCAACCAATCAACTATGAGTAGGTCAAGGTCTTTAACCATTATTCCTTGCTCCAGTAAAATGTGATGTCATTTGGTTATCAGTCAGATCGCGGGGTTTCTATCATCGGT